ATTTTTTAAATTGGAGCAGAAAACAGTGAATAATAAACAGACATACAGTAGATAAAATCAACAAAGCCAAAAGTTGGTTATTTGGAAAAATTAATTAAATGAATAAATTCCTAACAAGACTGATCAAGAAGAGGCAGAGGGAAAAAACCAAAGAGGAATGAAAATAGACTATCACTGCAGATTCTACTTATGTTAAAAGGATAGTGTAAACATATGAACAATTTATGCCAATAAATTGGAAAATTTAGGTGAAATAAGTTCCATTAAAAAGAAAATGAGCCGGGCTCGATGGCTCAGCCTGTAATCCCGCCCCTTTGGGAGGCTGAGGTGAGTGGATTGGCTGAGCCTGCGGGTTGGAGACCCACCTGGGCAACTTGGCGAGACCTCATCTCTACAATAAATCAAAAATTAGCTGGGCGTGGTAGCGCGCGCCTGTAGTTCCAGCTACTTGGAAGGCTGAGGTGGAAGGATCGCAGGAGCCCAGCAGGTGGAGGCTGCGGTTGCCCGGAGCGGCCACTGCACTCCAGTCTGGATGACAGAGTGAGACTCCGACTCAAAAAAAAAAAAAAAGAAAATGTACAAGCTGGGCTCGGTGGCTCAGCCTTTAATCCCGCGCCTTTGGAGGCTGAGGTGAGTGGATTACCTGAGCCCGCGGGTTCGAGACCGGCCTGGGCAACTTGGTGAGACCTCATCTTTACAATAAATCAAAAAATTAGCCAGGCATGGTAGTGCGCGCCTGTAATTCCAGCTACTTGGAAGACTGAGGCGGAAGGATCGCCGGAGCCCAGCAGGTTGAGGCTGGGGTGGCCGGGAGCAGCCACTGCACTCCAGTCTGGGCGACAGACTGAGACTCCAGCTCAAAAAAAAAAAAAAAAAAAAAGGAAAATGTACTAAAATTGCCACAAGATGGATAGACAGTCTTAATAGTTCTTCTATAATATCTGCTAAAGAACTTTAATTTGTAATTAAAAACCTTCCCACAAATACTTCCAGGTAATTTCACTGGTGAATTATTGCAAACATGTAAAAAATAGTTAATACCAGTATTGCAAAATTTCTCTAGAGAATAGAAAAAGAAGAAACACTCCAGATGATTTAATGAGCATTAGATAGCATTGATATTAAAATCTGATGAGGTATATCAAAAGAAAAATACATCATGACCAAGTGGAATTTATTTCAGAGCGTAAGGTTGGTTTAACATTTAAAAAATGAATGACGTTTACTACATCAATGTAATAAAGGAGAAAAACCATATCAAGTTTCCATTATCCTTGGCAACATTTCTGAATAATTGATCCATATGGCATGTGTGCTAAATATCTCCTAAAGAAGGAAAATGATACGCTGAAATCTGTGTGACATATTTTAAGGATTTTTATTCTTGTGCTGTAAAAACTGTTTTCATTTAAATCCCTGCTTATGTTTTAGGCCACTTTGATATGAGAGTGTCCTGCAAGGTTTTTATTAATTTTTAATTTTTTTTTAGTTGGATTCTCACTCCGTCACCCAGGCTACAGTGCAGTGGCACGCTTATGGCCACCACAGCCTCCACCTGCTGGGCTCAGGCAATCCTCAGCCTTCCAAGTAGCTGGAACTACAGGCACATGCTACCACACCCAGCTAATTTTTTGATTTATTGTAGAGATGAGGTCTCGCCAAGTTTCCCAGGCTGTTCTTGAACCCACAGGCTCAGGCGATCCTCTCATCTTGGTCTCCTAAAGTACTGGGATTACTGGCTTGAGCCACTGCACCCAGCCATATTTTTAAACAAAGCAAACCCAATACTCCTCTTTATTCCAGATAATATCTTATATCTGACATAGTATAGTTAACAGTGTTTACTTGCTAAGTATTGTTGTATAGTTAACAGTGTTCATATCTAAGTATCCCATTTTAAAAATAAACTTCTCTAATGTAAGCTTTGGGAGGCCAGCAATCTTTGTTTTTTGTTCATTGTTATGGCCCAAGCACAGCGTGTCTGCCACAGTTTGAATAAATAAGGGTTAGAGAGATTTAGCAGCTTACCCATACTAATATTATTTTGGCATCTCTCTCTTCCTCATCTTCCATTTCACCTCCTTTTTCTTCATGTCCAATGCTGTTTTCTTAGTTAATACTGTTGTCATTTCTCACTTTTATTTTTCAATTAATTTTATTTTAATGATGTGGGGTATGACTCAGGACTAGTTACATAAGTAGTCATTGTACAGGTAAAGTTTGGGCCTCCCTTCGGTTTCCACTTCACTTGGTTTGAGATCAGGTACCCTTATTTGTTTGTTTGTTTTCCTTTTTTTTTGAGTTGGAGTCTCACTCTGTCGCCCAGACTGGAGTGCAGTGACCGCTCCCGGCCACCGCAGCCTCGACCTGCTAGGCTCCGGCGATCCTTCCGCCTCAGCCTTCCAAGTAACTGGAACTACAGGAGTGTGCTACCACACCCAGCTGATTTTTTTTTTTTTTTAATTTGTTGTAGAGATGAGGTCTCGCTGCCCAGGCAGGTCTCGAACCTGCGGGCTTAGGCCATTCACTCACCTCAGCCTCCCAAGGCGCGGGATTACAGGCTGAGCCACCGAGCCCGGCTCAAGTACCCTTATTGATGTTATATCTCCTCCCCCTTCCTTAGCAGTTTCTGGCTACTGCCAATCCCTTTTTAGGGGGGAGAAGGACTTATTGAGAGGACAGAAAAACTCCCAGAGTGAGAGGGGACCTGAGGGGGTTGCCTGCCAATCCCTTATAGTACTATGGTAAATGTTCTGGCTCTGCTTATGAGTGAGAGTGTATGGTACTCAGTTCTTTGTTTCTGTGACAAGTCACTGAGTATTATGGACTCTAAATCCATCCAAGTTACTGTGAAGTCCATATGTTTGCCCTTCTTTATCGCTGCATAATATTCCATTGTGTATATATACCACAATTTTGTTTTAACCCGTCCAGTTTCGATGGGCAGCACGGTTGGTTCCATGTTTTTGCTATTACAAATAGTACTGCAATAAACATGCATGCACAGGTATCTTTTTTGATATGGTAATTTAAGTTCCTCTGGGTGTATTCCAAGAAGGAGTATTGCTGGGTCATATGGAAGGTCAATTTCTAGCTCTTTTAGGAGTCACCACACTGTTTTCCAAAGAGATTGAACTAGTTTGCATTCCCACCAACAGTGTAGAAGCATTCCTTTTTCTCCACATCCTCCCCAGCATCTGTTGGTTTTTGTTTTATTAATCATGGTCATTCTTACTGGAGTTAGACAGTATCTCAATGTGGTTTTGATTTCTCTGATGATTAGTGAGGCTGAGCATTTTTTCGTTTGAATTGGTTGCTTGTATGTCTTCTTTTGAGAAGTGTGTATTCTTGCCTTTTGCTCACTTTTTTTTTTTGAGTTGGCGTCTCACTCTGTCGCCCAGACTGGAGTGCAGTGGCCACTCCCG